TTCCAGCCTGAACCCGGCCGCCCTACCATTCCGTGGACGAAATGGCACCAAATCTTCGAAAACTACCTACTGGCTTCCGGAGCATCCGACTTTCCGCCCGAACGTCACAAGGCCCTGCTGTTACACAGCCTCGGCGTTGAGGGTCGACGTGCCTTCTCCAGTCTACTGCTTCCAATGGATGCCTCTCAGATCGGTGAGTCAACCGCGGATGACAAACTTACTGAAGCTAGCAAGGCTGCCACCATTCAGCCTTCAGTTTATGACAAAGCTGTAGTGACTTTAACACAACATTTCACAAGCCCAAGCAATGTCGTCGTAGAAAGGCACCGCTTTCGCCGTAGCATTCAGCACCCAAGGGAGTCTGTCCAGGAGTACATTGCCGCACTACGTGCGCTCGCCATTGCATGTTCCTTTGCTTCTCCTAAAGATTCGCTTCGTGACTAATTCGTTGAAGGGGCCTTGTTCCAGCACATTCGCGAACGCCTTCTTCTTGAGGGTTCCACCCTTTCGTTCTTTGGAGCAATAAAATTAGCATCACAAATCGAACAAGCTAGTGAGAACCTTATAGAAATTGCTTCATGCACCGTTCAGCGTATATCAAGAAGCTCTCGTGCAACGCCGCATGACCGATGTCGAAATGAACACTGCCACCGTCCTTCGCGTAGCGACACACCTCTGCCTGCACCTCGTACTGAAACACGCCCGCATCCCGACACCCATTAACCTGCTTCCTGTGCGCGCCCACCCACTTCATCTTTTTACTGCTACCGTTGCGGTTCCCGCCAGCACCGTGCTGCATCATACCGCTGCCCAGCGAAAGGCCAGGGTTGCTATAACTGTGGGCTTATTGGGCACTTTAGTTCAGTATGCAGAAAGAAGCAACAGGGCGTTCGTGTTCACTAGCTTAGCGACCAGAATTCCCCCGACAAAGCTATGAGCATTCTGTCGGTGACCCCATCCAGCCGCGCCAGAATTCATGTCGAGGTAACAGTTGGGCATGCCCTGTTACGATTTCTTATCGACTCGGGCTCCTCGGTTTCCATTCTGTAAGGTGATCTTTTCGATAGGCATTTCGCCGGCCATACGCTGCTGCTTGCGCCCCGTGTGAAGCTGCTAGATTACTCGAAACAGCCTATCCCTGTGCGAGGATGCTTTCTATCGACGGTCATATACAAGGAACGTGAAGCGTTCATTCTGTTCTACTTTGTCTCACAAGGCACATCGCTGCTAGGTATTGACGCCATTAAGGCCCTTCAGCTCCAGATTCATGGCTCATCCCTCCGCTGCCTTGGGACTACCCGGTCAACTACCAGTGCTACCAACGTACAAGCCCCAGGCCAGGAAACAGTTTCAGCTGCATGCCTTCCAGCAGAGTTGCACAATGAGTTTGCGAGCCTTTCGACTCCAGCCTCAGCCCAGCGAAAGGTTTTGTGCTTTGTGTCAAAGTTCGACTCTCAGTTCCATCTACTGTAGCAAAACTGCGCCGCCTTCCCCTTTCACTCCGAGCTTTGGTATCAGATAAACTTCGTTGGCTCGAGCAGTTGGATGTGATAGAGCGCATCAATGCGTCAGGATAGGTCTCCCCGATTGTTGTTCTTCAAAAGAAGGATGGAGGCATTCGTGTTTGTGTCGACTTACAGGAGCCTAATAAGGCCGTAGTTACAGATAGCTTTCCTACTCCATACACCGAAGAACTCATCCACAGTCTCGTTGAAGCAACTCATTTCTCGAAGCTTTACCTCGCATCAGCCTACCACCAGGTTTTGCTTGATCCTGAAAGCCGTGGTTTGGCCGCTTTCATTACTCACAGTGGCCTCTTTCGCTTTAAACGAGTGTGCTTCGGGTTGGCATCCACCCCCGCTGCATTTCAACAAATGATGTCCCAAATACTTCAAGGATGCTCTGGTGTTCTCTTCCATATAGATGACATCATTGTGTTTGGGAAAAATGAAAAGGAACACTTGACCAACCTGCTTGACCAACCTGATCACTGTACTACAGCGCATTGAGGAATCCGAGCTCAAGTTAAACGACAAGGGCGTATTTGGCTTACAGGAACTTTTCTTCTTGGGACACAAGATCACAGCACAAGGCATTTCTCCACTGCTGGAAAAAATTACTTCCATTATAAATACTCCTGTGCCAACTGATGCTACTAGTCTTCGTTCTTTTCTTGGTCTGGTCGAGTATTACGCCAAGTTTGTTCCCAGTTTTGCTGATGTAATAGAACCTATGCGAGCTCTTCTCCGAAAGAACCAACCATTCATTTGGGCAAATGCGGTAGATGCCAGTTTCGCCAAAATAAAGTTTCTGCTCTCGTCCAGCCAAGTTCTGCAGATGTTCGATGCATCCCTTCTGGTCGTAGTGTCCAGTGATGCGTACGACTGCGGACTGAGTGCTGTTCTCTAACAGGTTCTTGAATAAAGGTTCTGGTGGCCAGGCATGGATAGGCAGGTGGAACTTTCCATCCAGAACTGCAGAATATGTCAGATGGCTGACAAAAGTGCGAAAACTGCTGCTACTCCTTTGCAGCCAGTATTCTTGCCAGAACACCCATGGGAGAAGCTGGCCATTGACATCGTCGGCCCTCTGCAGAGAGCGCTGCACGACTGCAGGTATGCCATTACACTCATCAACTACTTTTCCAAATGGACAGAAATTCAATTCTTCAGTGAAGTGTCATCCCGCACCGTCATAAACTTTTTGTTTTCGGTGTTCTCCTTTGAGGGTTACCCGAACATAAAAGTATACAACAATGGGCCCCAGTTCACCTCTACAGAGTTCACAAAGTTTCTCATTGATCGAACCATCCATCTCGTGTGCTCTTTCATTTACTATTCTCAAGCGAACGGACTTGTAGAGCGGTTCAATTGTGTCTTCAAGAATTTCGTGCAGGTTGCAATGTTAGAGCAGCGTCCGCTTTGTCAAGCAGTAAGAGACTATTTGGCTATATATCGCTGCACGCCACATGCCACTACGGGTGTTGCACCATCCGTTATCCTACACGGGCGGCTACCGAGAACACGTCTTGATCTTGTGGGCCACCCATCACCAACCTTCTTTACCGATCCTGCTTCCGAACTCTGTCGTCTACGCGAACGCGTGAAGAGCAAACAAGGGTACAGCAAAGAGTACACAGACAGTCGCAGGACTGTGAAGAAGACAACAGTGTCAGTTGGTGATTTCATGCGTGTTAAGAAGCCCGGAATATCCACTAAGGGTGACCTCGCGTTTAGCCACCCACAGAAAGTTGTCCACCAACGAGGCCCATCCACGTTCCGGCTTGACGATAGACGAACTTTGAGCGCTTCAAAGTTATCGAAAGTACCTGCGCCATCAGCCGCGTGGAATCCGTATCAAAACGCTGCCTCCCAACCTGCAATCCCGTCTTCGGCGCCTGAGCGACCCAAAGATCGCTCCTCAATAGCGCAGTCCGAAGCTTCACCAGATACACCCAGGCTACAAGCGACAGCGCCAGTTGCATCGAAGCACCCAGTACCTCAACATCTGGTCCAGCCACCGAGCAACAGAAGACCTCCAGATCGATACGGGCACAGTGTGTAGCTAGTGTTTGCGTGTAGACTGGTGCAGTGACAACTTGAGTGCTACGTGGACTTTGTGCAGATGTTTCAGTTGTTCTGCAAGCGTTTTTGCTTTTGGTTCCTGAATTGGGCAGTCGACGAATGTGTGCTGCACAGTTATAAATCAGACATTATTGTGAAGTGCACATGTCATGTGTGGTTGTAAATATTTGCAAATATTGTGTATTTTCGTACTAATAGTAAATCACTAACAATTACTAACACTGTTTTTTTTAAGTTGGGGAATATGTAGTGTTTTCAGTTTTGGTTTCCACTTAGTTTATGTTGTTTTTACTTGCCACCAGGTGACTTCTGTATATATATATATATATATGCATACCTCTCAATAAAACTTGAGTTCTGGTTTGTGATTGTCGACGACAGTAGTCGCTTCTTCGTTCTTCTGCCGTTTCTGCCGCAATACAACACTTACTATTGGCCAAAACTTGCCGCTTGCATTAAAAAAAATACGCCCAAGCTTGCCGTGAATGTCAGTGCCGAATGTCCACGTCTGTGAAGCCTGCAGGATCACTTCACCCTATCGAGTCGCCCAGAACACCTTTCGATCAAGTCGGCATGGATGTCCTGGGAAAATTTCTCTTGTTGTCTTCGAGAAACAAGTGGATAATCACCCCTGCAAATTACTTGAAACCATTAAGCAGAAACAAAGGCTTTTACCAAAGGCACAGCTTCTGAAGTTGCTCAACTTTTCATAGAGAGCATCATACTACACAACATTGCTCCATCCTGCGTCATCACAGACGGAGGAGCGGCGTTTAGGGCGGGATCCTTGAACACGTCTTTCAGCTAAGTCGCGACACGCAGCGCAGAAGTACAACTTATCACCCATAATTCAATGAATGAGTTGATTGAAAGAGTGAACAAAATGATGACTTATACGGTGGCTATGTACATAGACAAGCAGCACAAGACGTGGGACGAGGTACTTCCTTACGTAACATTCGTGTACAATACCGCAACGCAGGAAACCACACGCTTCATGCCGTTTCATCTTCTATAAGGTTGTTATGTGCAGACGATGTTGAATGCCATGCTATCATGCGACATGAACAAACTCGACAATCTCGATGAAGGCTCAGAGTAGTTTGTTTAATGAGCTGAGGAAGCATGCTAACTTGCTCTTGTAAACATAAATAACAGGACATCGACACACGGAGCTACAACCCCCGCCACATTCAAGTCGACTACTAACCAGGTGACCAAATGCTAGCTTGGACCCCCGTTCACCACAAGAACCTTTCTGAAAAATTGGCCCGAATCTACATGTTAAGGTTGGTGCACACCGGCGACTAGCCGCGGTCGCGCGACCATTTGCGACTGGCGACCAAATTGCGAGCGACGTTCACACCGGCAAGGCTGCATGCGAGCGACCGGAAGTCGCAAAACCGGAGAGTCACGTACAGATCTCGTTATCAACGAGAACTTGGGCGACCGGCGACGATCAGCTGATCAGATACGGAGCCCGCTGAGCGCGATGCGTTTGTTTTTGACGGCTGTGTGTGTGTGCGTTCTCCCGGCAGCATCATAGACTTGAGTGATGAAGAAGAGGTTGTGGCGGTGCTGATGTGCTCAGCCAACGTGTCAGCGCTGGCAGCCCGAAAGCCTTCAAAGCAAGCAAGGCGGTGGTGGGTGAGACCGTCCTTTCGCTCGCGAGAAGTGGCTGGCCACACAGGGCGTCTGCTTCCCGACTTGCGCTCGCACGACGAGGAGTATTTCCGAGAGTAAGTTTATGGTTGTTTTACGTGCTTATAAGTATTTCCGAGAGTAAGTTTATGGTTGTTTTACGTGCTTATAAGATAGTGCATAACATGTTATCTCATTCTATTTTTGGTGGTTAGCTTCATGCGGATGCCGCCACGAACGTTCGATACTTTGCTCGAACTGCTGCGCCCCGCAATATCCAAGCAGGACACAAACCACCGGCCTACAATTTCGGCGCACGACTGCCTGGCCATGACCATTAGGTAAGAGCGTGTGGTTTGAAGATTAATATGCTGTGGCTTGCAGCTGCGCTTCGCTTGTAAGGAAGTTTTGCTTGGGCGGGTAGAACGAATTGCATTTATGACGTATGCGGGCTCGATGGTGCAGTCGTTACTGTGGCTGGCAGTTTACGCGTAGGTGACGAATTTGATTACGGCCGCATCGATTGCCTTTAGGTGGAGGCGAAATGCACTTAAGTTGGCGCGTTTGTTGCGCACGTACGTTAAGAATCTCAGGTGGTGAATATTTCAAAACCATCTGTTGTGGTTATTGCGTAATCAGTACGTGGTTTCCGCTTGTAAAATCCCAGAAAATGGGATTCTGCGCTACACAATGACATTACATTGTGGACGTGTCAGTTCCCGTTTTCTGTTATCCTGATGCACAGGTACTATATAGAGCACAATTATTAATGATGTTATAAAATAAGTGAGAAACAATCCTAAGCTTTGCGAGTACAATTATGCACAAATTGTTAGGACAAATTGATGTGCTGTTCGAGGCACTCAAAGAGTATTCATGCCAAAAATATTTTTCAGCATTGGGGAGGGAGGAGGTTCAACCAACCACCCTTTATGTATCTGCATGCACGACGGTGTGTGTTTGCACAAGTACACATGCGAAATTTCTCACAAACATAGGCAGTGTTTAACCCCTGCACCTTGCTACAATTATACGTATGTTTTGTTAAAATGACAGTGACCCAATACACTGTGGACAGTAGCGCAGTGGCAAAACATATTGTGGACGGTAGCACATTGTGTGAAAGCAATTCGAACATAGACTTGAGTGATGTACGTTTTGCGAAATAGGTCCTCCTTGAATTTACAGCTTTTCAGAAATCCATGCTAAGCAAATTGCTACAGGTACGTTTAGGTTGCCCCTTCTTCAACCTGAGTGATATGAGCCCGTACGCTCTTCCATGAAAAGGTTGATGCATGCTTATGATTCGCTAAAATGTGTAGGCACAGAAATATTCACTGCATATACGACAGCTTGCAGAGTGTACAAGCAGTGCGACCGTTCGCGACCAGTCGCAAATGGTCGCGCGACCGCTCCTCGTCGCCGGTGTGCATCAGCCCTAATTAAATTTAACTGTACAGGGCAATCGTTCTCTCAAAAGTGTACAATGGTTTTGTCCAAATGCAAGCAGTTGCTGACCTTGGCTGCCATGGAACTTGACATATCGAAATTTCTAAAGTTAGTCAGCAAATATGCATTCTATCAGAAGCTGTGATGATGTCGTAGAAAATAGACAGCAGAGGTAGCGCTCATTAATACATAAAAATGAGGAACACTTTGGCAATGTAGCGTCATGACTACGACACTGAAATGCAACTATGCGTGAGATTTTCAAGCTCAGCATGCTCCTTTTACAGTGTGTGTCTTCCATCGTGGCTGTGCCGACAGAAATTTCACATGGCACTTATGCGTTGTAGGTATGCCAAGGAAGTGCGAGATAAATTGGTGCACTACTTCATCACAGACGGTCAGGTGCCTTGGCAGGACAAAGTGGTGAACAGCACTTCAGGCGTACAAGGTGAAGGTGGGTTGTAAATGCATTTTATTGCTTACAGAACTTATGTACATAGCATTTTCTTAAGCTAAACAAACAAGAAAAAAATCACCCGTGACACAACAGATACATTACAGGGAAAACTGTCATGTCCAATTATAACCATGAAAACACAAAAATAAATAATTCATGTTAAAATATTTGAGTTATTGCACAATTATCACTACAATTATCACAGAAATAAGTTGCCCTAAAGGGGTCATGACACCCAATTTTCAACCATAATGTGTGTTTTATGAGCTGATTCTTGTATGTTCACATACAAGCTGGCAAAATTCGAGCGATTTGGTCAAGCTGCTAATTTTTAATCGCATATTTTTATAAACGAGCTAGTCGCCTGACAGTTGGGCAATACTGACGCACTCACTATCCATGACATCACGAACCGCTTGCTCGACAAGCTGCTGCACAGTGTGCATTCTGGCAGACGATCGTGTTCCATCATCAACTGCGTTTGCAATCAAATTTTTTCGCATTGTTGAACGCTACACTAAAGCTAAATGACTTCCAGAGGTCGAAACATGGCTACTGTGTCAGCAATGTAGCGCTGGTACTTGCAGCAAATGATTTCGGATGTCAAAATGGGTCCTGTGAATGTGTAATGCGTATACCATTTGCCATTGCTCCTTCGGCTTGTGACGTCTCGCACGCCATGACAAAATGGCGGTCACTTGTGGTAGGTTGAGTTTTAGGAGCCGAGCACTTCAACGGCATATTTTTGACTAAAATAATCTCCTAAGGCCCCTTTTCACACGTGTACTAGCACATTTTACTCTGTAGTTTTGTTTTTTCCTGACAACCGTCAATTGTTGAGTGACCAGTCATGACCCCTTTAAGTTGGGACTAGAAAAGTGAACACAAAATAAAAAAAGGTGGGTGTCATTGACTTTATATATATAAACACTTCAATTTGCTTCACTGCTCTGACGCAATTTCGCCTCTGCTTCATACAGCATAAGTTCTACTGCATGCATTACATCTTGTGCAATGTGCACTGGTAGCTCTCTGAAGCGTGCATCGGTACGTAGAGCGAAGAAACCAATGTTATCTTTTTTGATGACCCCCTTGTTCGCTCTGATGTGTTCAAGGTGCTCCATGCACGCTTGCGCCACAGCTTCATGGCTTGTGCCCTCTCCTGCATTGCTGCAAAGCAAGTGTGAATTGCGATTCATGCATATGAATGCTTTAAGGTTGCATTGTTACTTCATAAAGCACCATTTAGTAAAAAAAACAGTGTGAGAACGACAAGGTAAAAACAGAAGAAACAAAACAGAGCACTGACTTTCAGCTAATGTTTGTGATTTTCGGCATAAGAAAGAAAAAAATATAGAGCAACTGAAGCAAATTAAATAGCACACTTAAAAGATTAATGTGTAAATAGGGCGTCTACTTCTTTGTGAGAAATAAATGGGCTTTTGATCTTTGAAACAGAAACTCGTTTTTTGGAACAGGGTGCTGATGTTCTGATATTAACGTCTCAATATTACGGTAGTTACATGGGTTCTGTCTGCCTTAGTATAAATGTGCCCACAATAAAAACATCACTTTAAAGTCAGTGCTCTGTCCTGTTTCTTCTGTTTCTACCTTGTCGTTCTCACACTCTTTTTTGTTACTATGTCTGTGTACCAACTTGACCGAACGTTAACCTTATAAAGTTTTGTATTTTGTAGCATGCACAGGATTGTTAGGAAAAAATCTGCAAGTTTATCCTCTAAGAGTTAGCGGTATATCTCACCTAGCGCCCTCGCAGGTCCGTTGTCGTCTTGACGAGCGTGACCTGCAGTGAATTATACATATTGCTTAAATGTACAGAAAGAGATCCTTTCCGAAAAGTTGTGGTTGTGATCTCTTGCCAGGAGTACCTAAAATAATGTTTTTGTATACACACCGCTTGGTGGTGGCTGCTCTCTTGAAGTGGTTGCTGAAGCATCACTGCAGAAGGAGGCAGTATTATTATACAACTTATAAAGTGTTGCAATTGCATGTAGCAGAATCTGGTGTGAAAACATTAGGCACATTCTCCAAATGTGCTAAAACATGAAGAAGGTTACAAAACATGTTTTTTAATATTTAATAGATTGGCTATCTATGCATGCCCTTCATTTGTCATTACTTAGGTGGATTCACAAAGGTTTTACTCATTGCTGCAGGTGTCGACACCAGTCTCCTCAGCCGTATCAGGGGCACGTTCCCGTTCCGCTGCATGTCTTGGCCGAGGTGGTGATCTGCAGTGATGAAAATTTCTCTCTATGTATTTGATGATGCCGCTAGTACATGAACAGTTTTAGGCATTCTTTGGGAGTTCAAATGCCCATTATGATTTCACTCAACGCGAGGTTTATTTTACACTTGCGTTACCTCTTGATTGAGCACTGCTGTATGGAAGGTGTGCATACAGAACTTTATTGTGCCTATTATGTTAATAAAATGCTATGTAGGCTGCACATCTGAATGAGAACAAGAGATATTGTCACGGAGATGAAGTAAAGGTAGAGAAAGAACTCAAGCAGCCGATAGGCACGAGGGTGTTAATCAGCCATTGTGAATCTTGCCTGTGGGTTTTCCCCTGTAAACGCATTTTGTACTAAAGTCTCTAACCCGGTAACAATATCTCACTGCCTATGTGAATGAAATTTATACAGTCAATCCTAAATGGCTGTGCAAGTGATGTGTCTGATGAAACTGTGCCTGCTGTCATTATCTTTCTTGAACACATGCTGCATACGACTTTTGCAGCATCATTTTACTGCTACGATTGAGTGAATGTTTCACATTATTCAGCTCACTTGTATTGCAATCAGTGCGGGGCACTTGTTCATAACGAATTGACATGAATGTGTTGCCAGTGTGTGCAGATAATGCATTAGTTTGCTTAATTGCAGCCTGTCACTGATGAATACTTTGCTTTTTCAGAATTATTTGATGTTGTACAATAACCACATTCACACAGAAACAATGCCTGTGCCCTCATGTATTCCTGTGTGCTTCTGTTCAGTGTTGGGTGCTGAATGTATTGAAAAAAATGCAGTGGTTTGGGCAAGCTAACAACCTGAACACCGCCTTTCAAGCACGCTTGTATTTTTGATAATTTTGCAAAGTACAATCACCTAGTAATAAAAAATAATGTTTCTAGGTTCAAGTCCATGCATGTACAGCTTCAAGTGCATGCACATGGTACCGAAAATTTTTGTGCATGCTCACCTCTCGTTAGCCTCTTCTGCTGTGATGTGGCTGCTGCAAGAGAACATGCAATATGTGATTCTGTCAGTGCTATTGTGTGCATCTTTAGAGCATTTTCACTGTTTTGCTACAATATAAGTACTTATGCTGCATTCTTGTAATGAATATGTGCAATGCTTGTCTATGAACAGCCTCATGACACATGCAATAAGCGATCTCTTTAGATTTTTAGATTTTGTATTAAGCCTTCCTTCTTTTGGTAATTGAGAGCCGAGAATGACACAGAAGTATACTCAATTTTCTCATTCTTACTGTTCTGTCTTCAATATTCTGTTTTGTGAAGCTGTCCACGTGCCACTTGTATGGTATACTATATTTTTTGCATTGTGCTGATGCATTGTGCTATGCTAACCAAAACATTTCATTTTCTGTTCAATGGACGGTAAGCATTATTCATTACCTTTGGTCAATGGCACTCATGTTGCACACTATCCTGAAAGAATGATGCACAGAGTTATTCTTCGTGGCTGTTGCCACAGTTATTCGACATCAAAACAGCCCATTGCCATCATGTTCATGATCACATGCATGCCCACTGTGAATTACCTCTTGGGACTTCTATGTTTGTGTGCTGTGTACTTATGTTTATTGATATGTGAGTATTTATGTGTATGTATAACAGTCATGTGAATTAAATCAACTTTTTTTTTGTTTAGTACTCAATAGTCAGCTAATATTGAACTTACGCCACAGGCTCAGACTCTCCTTCCATTAATTCAAGCATGGCCTCAAAATGAGGCCATTTTATTGTTGGAATGTCGGCTGCTCCGGCTCCACTTCTTTGTTTTTTCACGTATGTCGTGTTGTTTCCTTTTGAAGATATCACGCAGGTTCTTAAATCGTTTCTCAACAAGGACACCTGAAAACAAAATCCTTGCTGTAAGAATGTATTGTGCATACTGTATCGCTGATAAATTTTCTACTTTATTTCAGCACAATTGTGAGCGGTCTTTATTTTCTTTGCCCAGATCATTTCGGCTGCAGCACCCTAGAAATCTGAATATTGGGCAACAAAATGAATCGCATGCCATCTAAACTTAACTATTGGTAGGGGCTTAAACATTGCAAAACCACGACATGATTGAGGGAACCTGCAGCCGAGGGTTCCAGAAATGCCACCCACCTAATGTTTTGGACCGTCCACCTACATGTGCACGACATCACAGCTGACGCAATGATTAGTTGCGCAAAGAGTTATGTACACTGTTTCTTGAAGGTAAGCATGTCTGCCAAGCTATTGTAACAAAGAGGCTGTTTATACTGTCGGAAATTAAAGTTCACTTGCAAAAAGTCTATTTCATGAACCAGCACATTATGTCTTTATCACCTTCACAGTGAAGCTTTCTAAGCATTACTGCATTGCACAAAACTCCACAGGTGAGTATATACCATTGGTATCGGCCAACCGCAACTGTCGTGTACAGCGGCAGCGATTGTTGTCAAACAAAAGCAAACATGTTAAATAACTTGAAGGATGAAACTAACTAGACCAAGATGACAATTTTCGAGAGAAAGAAATGCAACAAACATAGTATATGACTCAAAGTGTAACATAGAGAGAGCGAGAGGAAGGAAAATATAAGAAAATAAAGGGACCAAAACATGAAAACATACCAACACATAGAAGCAGACATGAAAAATTGACTTTAAATTATAGGAACAAAGAAAACAAACAAAATGAGGCACAGTTGAAAGCGGAGAGATATAACGTCGGGGAATAAAATATAAAGGCACCAATAGACAAAAACACAGAAGAGGAAAGGAACAGTTGTCAAGAAATGAGAATTAGATTTGGGCCACATTACAGAGGAATAAATTCCCCCATCTGTGCTTTCCTTCAGTGTTCGCCCAGCCACTAGAACACTACCATATCTTTTTTTTTACGATTGCATGTCATTTGGCATCAACAGCATGTCTGACTCCCAAATCCGGACATTTGAGAGTGCTGCTAAACAAGTTTTGTATGTTTTAATTACACGCTCCTCTGTGGAGTGCACAAAATGCGCTCAAAGCAGAAGCTACTTTGCATTCTTTTTTAAAGCAGCACAATTGCAATGCATAGGCAGAATTAAAGCGTAACCCCCCCCCCCCCCCCTCCCTCACCGCACACTAGATATTATGCATTGCAAATGCCGCACGTTCACAAAAGCACACATTCCCTTGGCCAGACGATGACGTACAAACACAGCAAGGAGCATGCGCAAGTGAGTTGGCAACTGCGAGCAGTATTTCAAACGTCTGAGCTTTATTATCAGCTATACAATGTTCTGTCACGTCGATTTCGATGTTAAACTTGGGAAGTCGCGAGAACAAACATGCACACAACTGCGCTCGCATACATCACAGTCAATACATCTAATGCAAACTAACCATGTAACCTTGCAGTACAAACACCAATATTTTCATTGTTCATTCATTGGCAACGCCAGCCATGCAGTACACACCTGATTTTGCTTATATAGCTACTCAAACAAAAAATCTCGGTACTTACTCGACATGCCGAACATGCTTCCGATCTGCCCAAGCCCGGTCCTTCTTTGTCCGATCTTTAAAAGAAGGGTGCCGCTTGTCATACAGATATGGGTACATTTTAATCGTGTCGATGAGGAGCTCGGCCGAGTACCCAAAGCTGGCCGTGGTGGCATTCGCCTGATGCGAGGAAGAATCCATGGAGGAACGTACGTGTCGTTCGTACCTCACGGCAGTAGGCAAGCGCAACGAGAAAAAAAAAAAAACATACGAGGAGACCGGATGTAAACAAAGGCTGACGTCACTTCTAGTCTTCGCTGATTGGTTAAACTGTTTTGCGACTGCAGTCGCGCGACCAAAAAATCGGTCAGGAAGCGACTGGCCAAAACAGTCGCTTTGCGATCGTTTGCGACCGTTCGCGACTGCTTGCGACCAGTCGCAAATGGTCGCGCGACCGCGGCTAGTCGCCGGTGTGCACCAGCCTTTACACTGTAAACGTCGTCGAAAAATGATAGTCTTGAGTCTGGAGAGAGTGAACAAAACGTTTATTTGATGTTCTGTGCAAAAAAATCGGTGAATGGTATTCTGCAGGCGCTGCATTAGAGTGCTTTGAGCGTGTGGCAGAGGCGAACGAGCACATCTAGGCACATTAGACACAAGTGCCATCTGGCAGTTATCTTCAAAAACGAAGGCGTGCAGCCTGTGGAGAAAGATGCGCACCAGTCTTGGAGGTGATAAGGTGTAGAACGCAAAGCGACGGGCAGGTGTCACCACCGTGACGTCGTAGCAAAGCGTTAGAAACACCTTTTTGAGCATCGCGTTGCACTGCCAGCGCAGCGCGATCAAACGCTACATTTCTTAGAGTTACTTGTGTGTGCCTCTTCTAGTATAAAGGCAGACAAAGAAAACATCGAAGCGTTGTTATGGCGCCTCAGATATGCACAATAATTGCTTTTTAATTGACAATCGCACAGCTATGAACACTAAACCTTGAGCAATATTGGTGGGCGCTGCCGATGGGGGTGGCCGTTTGATGCCATCTAAGGTATTGTTAGGGCGGACAAGCAGACAAATGTACAGACAAACAGACGAACAGACATACTAAAGTTTTTGCATCGCAGGTCCTTAAGAAAGACTATCGTCTTTAAACCTTCTCAGCCACTATGTCAGTCCGTACAAGGCACCACGACGAGTGCGCTACCTCAACTGCGAGGTCCTTCTGGACGGCAGCCAACTACCCCAACGCCGGAGATCGTGCAGGTATTGCGGTTAAAACCACACCACAAATTGTGACACTCATGGTTTTCCAGACATTAGGATTTTGTTTGTTGACCGCAAGCACACCATTTAACATCAAGGAAATGGTCTTTCGGAAGGAGGGACAATGCCACGCGCTTTATCGGCCAGCGTGAAAGAAGGAGAAGACGCAAAAGCTCTCATGCACATGCCTTTGTTTTAGCTGTTCACTGCCAACCGCTCTCAGGATAAGTTGGTCCTGGTGTAGCCGCTTCATAAACATCACCTTCGTTTAGAATGTGACAATATTGTGTAAGGTTCTTGCAGCGTATTGATCGCTAGTAATGTAATCATTCGGTTGGCGATATTGTCGATCTAAAAGTAGTCAAATACCATATTTACTCGCATAATCCTCGCACTTTTCTTGCCCGAAAACCGATGAAAAGTTGGGGGGCGAGAGAATTTCACGGGGAAAACTTTCTACGAAAACGTACAGAGCGAAAAAGAAAACCAAGTGGCCGCAAATCGGGATTCTCACACCAACAACTAATAGCGAGCTTTAAGAAGTACTAATTAAAGCTTACTTAAACAATAAAAGCAGAGGTTCAACACAAGACAAGATTAAATTGAGACACAAAAAGTGGAAGCAAATAGTCGAGAATTAGAATACCATACACAAAGCTTGCGGACGTTGCGGGCGTAGTGGTAGCATTCGTTGTTCAACAGGAGCCCTCAAAAGGTGAGCGTGGGACGTCAGTATTGGGCTGATGGCTATTTAACAGAATTGTCTGCAGTTTCCTTCTTAAGAAATAAAGTTTACTTACCATCAATCCCAAGGGCCTACCGGCGGGCCCTGTTGCCGTTGTTTAGTGCATTATCTATCACTTGCAACTTGAAAGCAGCCGTACAGCTTCAGTATCGCCTCATAATTTGACAAGGTTACCAACGCACTAAACAAAACACCCCGCAACGTGCACTGGCCACTACGGCTTCGCTTGAGTTGAATTGAATCGCTGTGCAATATTATGCTTGATGCTTAAGAGATGGTGCCAGATGACATGCGCTATCATCAGCAGTGGCTGGAAAGAGCAGACATTATTGCAGCAGTTTTCGGGGGTGCGATAATTACTCATGAAAAAAAAAGAAATATTTTTGTTGGACGATGTAGGGGGTGCGAGAATTGTGCGAGTGCAAGGATTACGTGAGTAAATACAGTAAATGCGTGATCTTGGGGTTTTGTCTGACTGCATCTGCTGAGTCTTCGTGTTCCGAGAGCGGGTGCTTCGTCTCGAGGCCCCACAATGCGCATGACACGCTCGTGAACTAGGCGTATCCCAGGTGCATCCCAGGTGAGGGCGAATGTGTGTGTGTGTGAGGCAGGCAAGGGGGGTATATTCTCTCCCGCTTTCTCCAGACCAAAAACAATGAAAAAAACTACTTTTGCATTGGCAGTTATACTCTTTGACTGCTGAACTCTCTGACATGCACTTTAAAAGACACAGGTGATGCCACTTTTTGTTGTTATGCTTTTAGTTAGCGTCACATATGTGTGGCCTGGCTGCATAAGGAAAGTGCTTTACCGAATAGTTTTCCGAGGTATCCATGCCATTTGCTCATTGTTTTTGATGCCATGAGTGCGTGCATAGTTTCACTACGTGCACACCAACTGGACCTTGATGATGTTAAGCTTTTTATTCTTAAATGTGAACAACTGTGTCGTTACTACCTAGGAAATGTCAGATTAGGCGTGATGAAACTGTCCAAGACTACGGTGGCGACGAATCTTCAGAGGTCAACTCATCACGTGCTTTGCCATTTTTCTCCGCGCTGCAAGGTCACGAGACCATAGCGTTCATGATTATCCAATTAGCTCTGGCAATGCGACGGCCCATTGAATGCAATGCGATGAATGTGATAAGAATAAATTGTAATGTTAAACAAATAAAGCTGGCAGCCAACTCTTTTGGGTCCAATATATGGAACTCTAACAAAACGCTAGTGTAAACATGATACGGCCGCTCCAGAGAGAAGTGCTCTTTTCACACAGTCTCTTCGTGTTGAAAGCGGACTGATGTTTCCGAGATAGCAATTGAGCTTGCCAGGAATTGCGACCGTGCCCTCAAAATGAAAAAAAAAATTAATTGTTGCCACTCAAGCGACTCCAACCCCCACTCCTTCACCCGCGTTTTTTTCATGCTCATTCAAGACGGGTGATTTTATTTCTGTTTGAGTGTTTGACGGCAGTTCTACCATGTGGCGGGTGTAATCGTATACGCTTTGCAGGAGATAGAGATAGGCCGGATCATTTTATCTCTGCTTCGGCAGCGTTCGCATGCTTTTAATCATTCGTAAAACTGAGGATGCGTGGGAGCCTCTTATCAATTTGGACTTGTTATGCAACATGGTGGCAATGGCAAAAAGCCGTCAGGTGTGTCTGTATAACTGCTATTGCAATAATGAGGCAGTTTCGTACCGCTAAATATGTGTTTTGGGTGAGTTATGCTTTAAGTATCTTTTTTGTTTAATTTGTGCAGTTATTCCTCAAACTTTCGTACCATAGCTACATATAACGAAATCTTTTTTATAAAAAATTTTTTGGCGATATGTCAATTTTGTTATATCCAGGTTTAACTGTACTATTATTGCAAATATTTGTACTGTTATGCTGCTAAATATCCAACTTGCAAATATTTCCACTGTTATGATGCTAAATATCCAACTACCTTTAATGTACCTGTATCATTTTTTTTGATTGGCTAACAAAAGTAATTAAAATTTAGTTCATATCTCAAGAGCACTAATTTCTGCCCTGCTTGATACACCACACCATCATGCTAAAATACATAATGGCCAGCAAGAAACATGAACATCTCTATGTGGCTTTGCCACGGTTTCTCTGATGCACCATGGAGTCAGTGCGATTTAAAATGTTAGCCACATGTTGTGACGCACTCCATCACCCAAGAAGTTAATGCCTGCTGGTTTGTGCAAGAGTTGCTAATTGACACATGGCTTGTAAATGTGTTACAATAATCACGAAACATACAATTGTCACCCACTATCCACTATCCAGCACCAGTAGAATTAGAGCTTTCACAAAGCATCAATAAACATCCTGGAAGAAATCTACAGCTCACCAACTGCCACCATATTGTTCCATAAAAAAAAAGTGACAGAATACCAATAAAGAAGGGTGTAAGACAATGAGATAAAGTCTCCCCAAGCTATTTACTGCGTGCTTACAGGAGGTTTTCAGAAGCCTAGAATGGGAAGAGTCAGGGATAAGAGTTAATGGTGCACCTCATAATCTACGCTTTACCAATGACAATGCATTGCTGAGTAACTCCAAGGACGAATTGCAATTCATGATTACTGAATTAAACAAGGAGATCAGGAAGGTGGGTTTTAAAATCAATCTAAAGAAAACGAAAGTAATGTACAATAACCTCGGAAGAAAACAGCGCTTCAAGATAGATAGCAGTGCACTTAAAATTGTAAAGAAGTACTACTTAGGACACTTAGTAACTGTAAGCTTGAACCACGAGACTGAAGTTACTAGAATACTAATAAGAAACTGATGGAGCACATTCAGCAAGCATTCTCAAATCACGAATTATAATCTACCACTAACCCTCAAGAGAAAGGTATATAACAGCTGCATCCTGCCAGTGCTTACCCACGGAGCAAAGACCTTGAGGCTTAAAAAAAGAGTTCAGCTTAAATTAAGGACGACACAGGGAGCAATGAAAAGAAAAATCATAGGTGTAACCTTAAGAGACAAGAAGAGAACAGATTGGGTCAGGGAACGAACCGGGGTTAAGGTTGATATAGTTGAAATCAAGAAGAAGAAATGAACATTGGCCAGGCACGTAGCCCATAGACAG